ATTCCCTTTTATCTTACTGAATTTTGAAGGCAGGAGAGGAAGCACAAAGTGAGTGACATTAGACAATAAATTTCCCTGAACTCTGGAGATCAGTGCAGTGTGTGATATCAGTGCTGCGATTCCTCATGAAATCAGAAATCATATTGAAGTGTTCATTAATCAAGGAGTTGGAAATTTACTGAAATAAACAAGAAATACCTGCTTTATCCAAAGGACTTCTGTAAGTCTCTCTCAGGGAGATTACATCAGTGATTAATATTTAAAGGTGTGTTTAAAAAAAAATGAAAGAAAATGTGTTAGCAGAGTATGGAGGCACAAAAAAGAGCATTATATATCGACTACAGTCTATAGTAATAGAATTGTTAACCCTATTATAGACAATAATCGATAAATAAAGGTTATAAAACGTGACAAAACCCTTGCATTTAACGCCGCGGCCCTGCACTGAGCGCTCACACAGCTCCCTCCGGCGGCTCACACATGGAAACAAAGCTTTTACTTCTCTTTTCGCTTACACCACTATCAAACTACCGCGCTTTACTAAATCAGCTATTAGACACCCGCCGCTTTTACCACGCTCCATACCTGAGGGAAGCCGATATACTGGGAAGGATCAAGGACACCCTGAGGGGAAATCGAGGTCACCCCCACAGGCGGCGACGGCGGCAGCAGCTCCCGTTTCTCCTCACGACGCACGGGACCCAGCGCAAGTGTTCCCCCGGTGCCACCCCCGCTCCGGGAGCCGCGGGGGCCGGAGAGGGAGCCGGGGAGCGGCAGGACGCGGGGAACGGATCCCGCGGGCGATCCCGTTCGAATCCGCCCGCGCTCGGGCGGGCGTTGGGCAGGGCGGGAAGGGCGCGTGCGCGGTAGGAGGAGGGAGGAGCGTCCTCCCGGAGGAGGGAGGAGCGTGAAAGGAAGGGCGGAAGGCGGGAGCGGCAGCACTTTGTTAGGAGCTCTCTGTTCTCTGTCTCTTGTTTATTCAATTTTAACAGCAAAACCCCCTCTTCTCCTCTCACCTCTGTGTAATTTATTTGTGTCCCCTAGGCAAGTCTGCCCACGAAGCACCACTCTTGCAGCGTGGCCCCTGAAAGCAAGTGGGTTTCTCTGCTCCTTTTTCAGATATAACAGGATATTTTCAGGATATGACAGCATTTTCATGAATCAGATTACAGCCTCAGCAAAGTATATCATGCACAGAGTTACACCTCCAGCTGGAGGAAGCAACTGGAAACACTTTACTTTGTTTAAAATATGTTAAAGAAAAGTCAGCATTAGGAAAATGTGGGATCTTATACCAGTAACTTTACGAAGAAAGAAAATTCCTTTTAGCCAATATACTTTGTCTAAGCAAATTAGCATACAAATTAAATCACCAGCAACAAAATATTACTGAAATTGTTATCACAGTTCCTCTGTGATAACATATTTAAGAAGGGGAAAAAATTGTGGTACAACAGCAGCTGAAAGAGCAGAGTGTGAATATGTGAGAGGAACAGCTCTGCAGACCCCCAGGTCAGTGCAGAAGGAGGGGGAGGAGGTGCTTCAGGCACCACAGCTGAGATTCCCCTGCAGCCTGTGGTGAAGCCCAGGGTGAGGCAGCTGTGCCCCTGCAGCCCATGGGGTGCAGAGACCCACCTGCAGCCCGGGGAGGAGTCCATGCCAGAGCAGGGGGATGCCTGAGAGAGGCTGTGACCCCGTGGGAAGCCTGTGCTGAGCCCATGCTGGAGCAGGGTCCTGGTTGGAGCAGGTTTGCTGGTAGGACTTGCGACACTATGGGGGATCCACACTGGAGCAGCCTGTTCCTGAAGGACTGCACCTTGTGGAAAGGGACCCACATTGGAGCAATTTGTGAAGAACTGTAGCCTGTGGGAAGGACCCACATTGGAGAAGTTCATGGAGGACTGTCTCCCATGGGAAGGACCTCATGCTGGAGCAGGGGAAGAGTGTGAGCGGTCTTACCCCTGAGGAGGAAGGAGAGGCAGAGACAACATGTGATGAACTGACTGCAGCCTCCATTCCCTGTCCCCCCTGTGCTGCTGGGGGGGGAGGAGGTAGAGAATTTGGGAGTAAAGTTAAGCCCAGAAAGAAGGGAGGGGTGGGGGGAAGGAGTTTGAAGATTTAGTTTTTATTTTCTCGCTATCCTACTTTGATTTGATTGATGATAAATTTAGTTTCCCCAAGTTCAGTCTGTTTTGCCCGTGACAACCAGAACTACTGACTCTCCAAGTCAATCATCCCTCCCCCAGTATTAGCTGTTGCAGTAAGGAGGCATGGGGGACTCCACCCACGGAAGCAATTTGGGAAGGAAATTCTAGGGAAGAGGGGGTTACAAAGGGACACTTTCCAGTGGAGTTATTACTTGAGGAGAGCCTTTCACCCTGTCCCTCAGGGTGAGGAGGGGATTGGTCATGCCCCCACTGCATTCCCACCCAGGCTCAGCAGAAGTCTGGATAGAGGCAGCACTGGGCACAACAACAGAGCATCATTTCTCTCCTACCAAATTCACAAACTGTTGTTAAAAAGGGGAGATCAAACAGAACAAAAAATAGCCCAACTGTGCTTACCAAACTACAGCCCTGGTATCAATAATACATAACTGCTCAATTTACATTGGACTTAAATTGCCTAAAAGTTAGTTTCATTGATTAGACACAGTGAGATTGTTCCTTTAACTCCACTGATACAGACCTGGTGTCTATATGCATAAATGCTGAAAAAATTAGAGTTATGCAGCTAAGCAAGCTGCATCCCCTCTGTGTTATGCAAAGGCAGGCTTCTTATCAGAAGTCAGGTATAAATACAATAGCTAACTTTTACTTTCATGATTAACATCGAGTCACATTCTTTCCTCTGCACATAATCTCATCACATTTTACTTGCATCTCAGAAAATACAAAACATTAAAAAAGAATGCAAGTTACGATAATCAAATTGTTTGAAATTTTAATTGAGATTCCTTTGTTTTGCAACAGTTTCTCAAAGGCTAGCTATGATGAAACACAAGAATCATTTTGAATGAGACTAAATAAAAGTACAAATCTCAAGAAATAATTTTGCATTTGGAGAAGACTGAATAGAAAAGCCTGATTTTAACTAGGATCTACAGGATTACCAAGAGCATTAGGGAATGTCCTTGCAAAAATTCCTCCCTTTACTTAAGGCTTTGAAAACAAGGTTTTTCAGAAGTATGGAGGCACCTCTAATCTCAAGGCAATAATTCAGAATTGGAAGTTCTTAGCATCCTTAAACATAGAGCTAGACAAGTATTGTCTAAACAAACAAGATTAACAGGTCATTACTGTAAAGTTATTAAAATTATATTCATTCTTGCCATTGGGATCTGGCATTGTAATTGCCAGTCACTCAATTGTTCCTAATTTATTGGATTAAGCAAATAATGCAATATTTCATGGATGCTATTGTTTTATTATCTAATACTAATTAAAATATTTACACTCTTACTTTTCAATCCACATTTTAGGACTCACGGCTTTTACTTTTAGCACAATGTTTTTGTGTCGTCAGAATTTCATTTAAAAAAATCAGGAACCTGATACCATATAGACAAGCCTTCTCTATGTTTAAAAATATTCATTTTCAAAAATGACAATTTATAAAAGAAGAGCCTTCTGGTAGCTTTCTTCTAACTCATGTTTACCACAGATTCTACTGAGCTTTTCCTAATTTAAAGTGTCCCTTTTAGAGTGTCCTGCTGCCTCCACATAAAATCAGTTTCCTCCCTCATCCCCTCCTAAATTTAATGAAAAAAAAATCAGTAGCTGATATAAAGCACTATAACATTACCTACATTGCCTTTTACTGAACTAAGATCTTGAACACTCCCTAGGAGCTTTGTGGAAATTTAACCACTTGTGCTGTTTTTGGCTGAGGTAGAGTTAATTTCTTTCCCAGGGGCTGGTGTGGGGCTGTGTTTGGATTTGTGCTGAACACAGGGTTGATAATACAGAGATGTTTTTGTTATTGCTCAGCAGGGCTTACACAGAGCCAAGGCCTTTTCTGCTCCTCCTATGGCCCTGCTGGGGAGGGGACTGGAGGTGTGTGGGAGGTTGGGAGGGGACACAGCTGGGACAGGTGACCCCAACTGAGCCAAGGGATATTCCAGACCATATGACATCATGCTCAGTATATAAAGTGGGGGGAAGAAGGAGGAAGGGGGGGATGTTTGGAGTGATGGTGTTTGTCTTCCCAAGCCACTGTTACATGTGATGGGGCCCTGCTCTCCTGGAGGTGACTGAACACCTGATGCCCATGGGAAGGACTGAATGAATTCCTTGTTTTGCTTTGCTTGTGTGAGCGGCTTTTGCTTTCCCTATTAAACTGTCTTTATCTCAACCCATGAGTTTTCTGGCTTTTACCCTTCCAATTCTCTCCCTGATCCTGCTAGTGGGGGAGTGAGTGGCTGTGAGGGGCTGGGTGGCTGGCTGGGGTTAAACCACAACAAAAAGGCACAGGATTTTTGTGCTCCAAGTCCTCCAGCAACAATGTTTTTTCCCCAGCCTGAAAGTTAGGGACTGCTGTTAGCGAACAGCAAACAGTCTGCCCAGAAAATTCACAGGTACCCAATTGGCCACTTACATTAGAACCCACCAGATTTTACTGATTCTTCTGCCACAGACACTCTGCAAATCTATAACAAGAGTTTGCTTCTATAGCAAGAGGAAAAGAGGTAAAGTTACTCTTACATATAGCCAGGGATGATGTAAGTGATACAAGCTATTCATTATTAAAATCCTCACAAAGCTGTCCGTGTCTTTGATAGTTTCTGTTCCATGGCATTACATGAATGGGAAAGTTATTTTTCACATATGAGAGAAATGTAGTTGTACGTGAAGAAAGCTAACTTTGGTCCACTTGTCCAGCTTCCTAAGGACAGCATATTGGAAAGGTGACCACCCACCATTGGTTCAAAAATTAATGTAAAAGCTAGCAAAAATAATTGGGTATTTCATTCCTAAACCTGCACAGCGTGATTATTTGTGCTAGTCATCCACCTTTTCATTCTGTGTTTCCACTAATTGTTGAGTTTTTAAGTCTTCAGCTTGTTCATGGTTTTCCATATCTGCATCATCTACTTGACTAGTTTTATTTTCTTCTGCTTCTCCTTGATCAACACTTTCATATTCTACTTGTTCAAGGTCTGTTCCATCTATAAGTTCTGCCTGTACTTCTTTCATCTGTATTTGATTTACATGCCCAACGTGTAACTGCTCCATGTGAACTTCAGCACTTTGTTCAGTCTGAATGTGTTCAACTTCCAAGTAACTAATTTGCACCTGTTCTTGCAGTTCCTCCATCTGTGTGCCTTTCACTTGATTGTCCTGTATGAGATCCTGGTGCATCTGTTCCACAGTTACCTGTGCAGGATCCACTTGTACCTGAATTACTGGTAGGACATGGACTTGCTCCACTTGTTCTATTATAGTCATTGATGTTACTGGTTCAGCTTCCATAGCTTCCATTGGAAGAACCTCTTCTGTCACTATTCGTTCTGAAATATTGTGCATGTCTTTGAGATGCCTTCTCAGCTCACTGCCTTGCATAAACCACAAATCACAGAAGGTACAGTGGTTGGGTTTGTCACCAGTGTGTATTACCAAATGATTTTTAAACTGATCCCAGCTGTTAAACACGCTGTTACAAACCTGAAACAAAAGATACAGTATGTTAAACAGTGCAAACAGAAATATAACAAAGTATAGTGCCTATTTCAGATCATGGCTTCACATAGTGTAGCTTCTTGCTACTTGGATTAAGAAAGCCCACCATGTATGTTAGAAGTAAAAACTGAGAAGTCAGCTTCAAATGAACAGAAGACCTGGTATTTATTTTTAAGACATGGTGTGCCATTTTGAGTTGTGCATACACAGGATATGAGTCAGTACAGCATTTTAAAGTTTTCTTATTTTAACCTTATGTGAAATTCACATACAGATTCACACCCCAATAAATGTCTGGTGCTAGAATTTTGAGTGTAAAGCTATTTATGTAATAATATCTTATGATCAAAGTGCAATACAAGCCGTCCTTTTACTGAAGTTCTAGATGCAGTACTACTAGCCAACATTTCCTTATCAGCTTTCATTTGTTCATGGATAGACTAAACTCTCACATTTTGTCATTTCAAAAAAAATATTTGAGTGATTTTAGCAGATAGAAATGTCTTAAAACTCCATCTTTTTAAGTCTCTTCCAGCTAAAAGTACTGCTTTGACTGCAGACATACTATTTTCACAAAGCATATGAGCACACTTCCCTTCAGCTGGCACGGAGGTAAGTAGCCTGAAAACAACACACAAAGACTGCAGAAATGAATGAGGTGCCAGGGTAGAAGAGAGAGAGAAGAATGGGGTAGAGTCAGGCTTGGTGTAAAGAAACAGGGTCAGGTGTCTTTGTCCACGCAAGTACTCTTGGCTGCAGAAAGAAGCAAAGAACATGCATTTCACTGTTGGCAAATATTTTTGAAACAGAATGTTCCATCTCCTCAATTTTCAGCAACAGCACAGAAGGATGATAGAGTATCTAACAGGGATTAACTCAAGGAACAGGTCTGTGTAATGGAGCTGAATATCTCTATTTTGCTGTTGAAATCTTAAAACCATGTTTGTGATGCTAGTGACATGCTTTTTGTGTATGTGTGTCCCCTAGGCTCATGCTTTAGAAAGTAGTTGCACACATACACTTCTTAAAATACTAACCTTATAGATAAGCACTCAAAATTACTTAGTCATACATAAAGGTAATGACTATCAGTAATGCCCAGGCACATAATATACTGTTCTTGCCACGTGGAGCCTAATTCAGTACTCAAGGCGTACACTGAAGAGCACCAAAAGTGCTCATCAAGCAAGTGCAATTTTGTTTTCTCCTCCTTGTTCAGTGAACCAAGATTTTATTTATTTAACACTATTCAAATTCAGTTCTAAAGAGAAAAAAAAATCAAGAAAAATTTATCCAAGAATTCCTGTAGTTGCTGCAGGCTGAAATAACACTAACCCACATTTACAATTATCTGTAACAGAGAAAGCTATGAGGTGAAGCAACTAAACCGAAGGGTCACAAAAACAAAACAGTATCTTCAATGAGGCTACTAGGTACAATTTTGTGTTATACAGCAGTTCTCATGTTCAAAACAAACTTATCTTTAAGACAAAAGCATGCTCCCAAGAATTAACTTCAGTATAGCATAACTAAACAATGCAACAGCATTGGTGAAACTTCTGATTAAATGAATTTATTCACCTCCTGCAGTATTCGCCACTTTCTGTGAATAAGATCACTCTTTTTTTTGAACAAATAAAGCTGATATCCAACAGTTTTCTTTACTACACAACCCAATTTAACCTCAAACCACAGCAATTCTGTGAACTGACTAAGGTGAGAGTCTTATTTGAGACTGTCACAGCAGTGGGGCAGCAAAATGGTAAATATGCTACAACCAACCTCAGCTCTCATATTTTCTAGCTTTTCAGGATCAACTTTTAAACGCTAAGTAACATTCTTCTAAACAGCTGTTGTGAGTTTACTCGTTCTTTTCCCCCTGGAGCTGAAGGTAGTTAATTCCAGGGGTGGACTTCCTGGTGCTGAGCCAATTAGAAGCTTTAGTAACACCTCTGCGAATTACATATTAAGGAAAACGGAAGAGAAGGCTTGTGGCGCAGAAGAAATTGGAGCCAGGAGAGTAGCAGAGGGAGCCGCCCGACCCGGGGGGCTGGGCCCCGCGGCCCTGGCCCAGGATGGGCCGGGGCAGCGGCCATGACCCTGGGTCCGCAGCAGCTGCTAGACTGGAGCAGGCAGGGGAGGCTGTGGGCAGAGGGGCGACTGGGGCCAGGACAGGGGCCCCGGCCGAGGCGTGCATTAGAGCGCAGAAGAAATTCCAGAGAGTGAGAGAAGAGCTGCTTGGGAGCCTCCCGGACGGCCTTGCCGCCTCCCCTGCCACGGCGGGGGAGAGGCGGCAGCAGGCTGGCTGCGGCTCTGAGCATCTGGCTCAGAGCAAGCAGAGGGGCCCCTGCGAAGGGGCGGTGGCAGCCACGGGACGAGCCGAGGGACTCTGCTGCGGCGCAGCTGCAACCCATGAAGGAGGATTGCTATCCTGCCGTGGGAGGACTAAGAGGGAGTGAAGTCCTTCGGAGAATTTGTAACTCGGAGAGAGAGAGAGAAGCCACGTTGAAGCAGGTTGTTCTGGGTAGGACTTTAATGAAAACTATTGGAGTATAAAGACTGAGCCGAACCCCAGAACCTGCGACCTGGGGGAGGTGTGGACCTGACTTGGAGGGGTCCCCCGAGAACTTACTCCCCTGGGAGGGACCCCACGTAGCAGGGAAAAGACTCAGAGCTTTAACTCCCTGTAACCTGTGGTGAAGATCATGGTGGAGCAGGTTGTCCCCCTGCAGCCCATGAAGGATCATCGGGGGGTGCAGAGACCCCCCGCACCCCTATGAAGAGAGACTTTAGCTATCGCCCTGAGAGTTCTCCTCCTGCATTGGTGCAGGGGGCCGAGGGGTGGTTAGAAGTGTGTTTAATACTATGTATTTTATGACTTTTTAGTTCCTATCCTGTTAGCAATGAATGTTAATATTATCCTCACATCAAGTCTGTCTTGCCTGTGTGAACCTCTCTCACATTTTAGTAATTTTGTGAGGGTTTAAATCCGGCCAGAGTAAACCCACGACAACAGCTTTTCACATGTCAGTTGCATAGTGACCAAGTACCCTACCTATCCCTCTACAGCATTTATATTTGCTTAAAAGACATTACAGATTGTCATCATAAGTTGAAATGACTTTCCAGCCAGTCAATATATTGGTATTAAAGAGAAGAAGAATAAATTAGGAAATAAAATAGTACTTTGTATTTTGGACGTTAGTGAAGCATGCTCACAAGCAGGAAAGGCCTAGGTCTGTTCATCAAGAACCTTAAAAAGGAAGCGGAAGATCAGTAAGATGCATTTGAACACTTACCTACTCACAAGAATCTCTCTGATTAACTAAGTATTATGAAGCTCCATATCAGTAATTTAATATTTTAAATGGAACTACTTAGAATTTACCCTCATATTGTACTTGAAGGCAACCTTTATAATTTATTTTACTAAAAATAGTTCTTGGAGACATAAGTCCACTTTTGTTGCCTTTCCTGCTCAGTACTCTCACACTCCCTCAGCACAGGAAGGAGGTATCTAGCCTCAGACTCTGCTACTCCTATTACCCACCTGACATTCGTACAGCTTCTTTCTTCCCTTTTTAGCTCCAGCTCCAGACTGACAGGCCGTCAGGTGACATTTGAGTGTACTATTCCTAGCAAAACGCTCATGGCAGTTTGGACATTCAAATGGTTTTTCACCTGTTAAGACAGACACAAGGATATGTAAGTGTATAAAACCAGCCAGTTTTTGGTCAGCTCTTCCTTTTGTGTAGGTTGATAAATATGCTGTAAAGATGTGGCCAACTGGATTATTCTACAGAAGAAAGACATTCTATGTAAACTTTACGTAAATAAAATGTCAAAAACCTAATGTGGAGTCATAACTCTCATTTATAAAACCAAAACAAAATAAACCAAACAAATCAAAACAAAAACCATACACACAATAATGTAATATAATTCCCAGTGTCATTTAAGGTATATTCAGGTTTTTATGAAAATTAGGTTATTATTCTGATGAAATATCTTAAAGAAATAGCAGCTATTTCTCTCTTTTCACCTGATAATAAGTTAAAGGCTCAACATTAGTATATACAAAGTGACACATTAACGAAGGAGGTATTTAAATAATACAAAGTTTTATTTTCAAGAACAATGACAGAGAGAGCTGAAACTAAGCTCCAGAAAAAGAAGTTGACACAGAATGACCATGAAGTAACAATGCATTGGTATTAAAACAAACAAACCAATCCCCAAAACTTGAATTCGAAGTAGTATATCATTATTACCATCATCAAATAATAACAAAGAAAAACTGCTGTCTCTGTTTACTAATTATCATACACAAACACAATGAAATTCAAGGAAATTAAAGTACAAAAAAATTAGGAACGATGTGTTTCTTCTGAGTCTGATAATTCATCTGTGGAGGTACTGATACCAACATCACTATTGAAACAAACTACTTCATGAACTCCAGAAGAAGCTGATACATTTCAGGGAGTAACCTAAGAATCTATTCTAGCTAGATTGAGTTTAAAAGCCTACATTTTCATGAATGCAGTAAGTATTGACTACCGAGATGGAAAGCAAATAAATCTGTATTTTCAGAAATAAAGACATTCAGAAGTGCATAAGAAACTTTTCAAAAGAAATCCACAAGTAGCCTATGATTCTTGTTTATACACCTAAAGGCCACAGAAAAATGTTAAATGGGGGGAACATTCCCCTTAATGGTTATAAAAGGCTATGTTTTTGGAAACTGTTGTACAGGTAATGCAGAAGATGCTTGAACTACCATCTGTCTCGTAGACCAAAAATCACAGACATTGCATGAGCAACCAAATACAGAATCACAGAATCAACTACATTGGAAAAGACCTCAGATCATAGAGTCCAACCTTTGACCCAACACCACCTCGTCTACTAGACCATGGCACTAAGTGCCACATCCAGTCTCGTCTTAAAAACCTCCAGGGACAGTGAATCCACCACCTCCCTGGGCAGCCCATTCCAATGCCCAATCACTCTCTCTGTGAAGAATTTCTTCCTAATGTCCAACCTAAACCTCGCCTGGTGCAGCTTAAGACTGTGCCCTCTTGTCCTACCGCTGGTTGCCTGGGAGAAGAGACCGATATCCACCTTGCTACAACCTCCTTTCAGGTAGTTCTAGAGTGGTGAGGTCTCCCCTGAGCCTCCTCTTCTCCAGGCTGAACAACCCCAGCTCCCTCAGCCTCTCCTCATAGGACTTGTGCTCTAGTCCCTTCACCAGCCTCGTTGCCCTTCTTTGGACATGCTCCAGCACCTCAATATCCTACCTGAATTGAGGGGCCCAGAACTGGACACAGTACTTGAGGTGGTGCCTCACCAGTGCCGAGTACAGGGGAAGAATCACTTCCCTGATCCTGCTGGCCATGCTATTCCTGATACAGGCCAGGATGCCATTGGCCTCCTTGGCCACCTGGGCACACTGCTGGCTCATGTTCAGCTTCCTGTCAATCAGAACTCCCAGGTCCCTTTCTGCCTGGCTGCTGTCCAGCCCCTCTGTCCCCAACCTGTAGTGCTGCATGGGGTTGTTGTGGCCAAAGTGCAGGACCTGGCACTTGGCCTGAATACATTGGTGAGCCAAGAGAATACCTCAGGAGGTGAGCCCCAGGAGCAAGAAATCAGGCAAGGAAGGCAAGAGACCAGCATAGCTGAGTAGGGACCTGCTGGTCAAACTAAAGAGCAAGAAGGAAATGCACAGGCAGTGGAAGCAAGGACAGGTATCCTGGGAAGAGTATAGAGATGAAGTTTGGCTGTGTAGGGATGGGGTCAAGGAAGGCCAAGGCGAAGCTGGAGCTGAACTTGGCAAGGGATGCAAAGAATAACAGGAAGGGCTTCTACAGGTATGTCAGCCAGAAAATGGAAGGCGAAAAAAGGCATTACCCCCCCCAATAAACAACGCTGGTAAAATGGTAGCAATGGACGAGGAGAAGGCTGAGGTACTCAACAACTTTTTTGCCTCAGTCTTCACTGGGAAGGGGGAAAGGCTTCAAACTGACAGAGAGTAGGTTTAGATTAGATATTAGGAATAAATTCTTCCCTGTGAGGGTGGTGAAGCCCTGGCACAGGTTGCCCAGAGAGGCTGTGGATGTCTCATCCCTGGAAGTGTTCAAGGCCAGGTTGGACAGGGCTTGGAGCAACCTGGTCTAGTGGAAGGTGTCCCTGCCTGTGGCACGAGGTGGAACGAGATGAGCTTTAAGGTCCCTTTCAACCCAAACCATTCTATGATTCTATGAATACTACAGAACAAAACTCACCCCGCAAACCTTCACCCGCCCCGTGATCTGGTCACATTTAAGGAGTTACTTGAAGCAAGGCACTGCCCCGTTAAGGACTGATTTATTCTATTCTTAATCAAATTCTTCAACAATCTTCAACATATTCTGCTCAAAGTATCTGAAACTGACAAATCAAAAATAACAGTGGCAATATCCAAAGGCCAAAAAAAACATTGTGTGACTTCTTGCACAGTGCAAATCAATGCTGCGACCTCAGCTGTGCTGGTCACAGCAGCAATGGAAAACACAGAGAATGTATCAACCTGCCTCTAGCTTGAGATGTGCACCGGCAAGCTGGGGAATAAACTCCTCTGCTAAAGGTGACAACTTGCTTCTCTTCCCCCGGGTGTCATTCAACTATGAGTTTATAAAATCTCACTTAGATGAGACTAATGAGGGAGGTTCTTGGCCTGATCGAACAATTAATTTTTTTTCATTTATGAGAACAGGCGAGATTTCACTTGCCAATCATAAGTAACTCTCAGGACAGAAATTCTGATCTAAGATAGTCCAATATTGTGCTGGTCCTTTGTAATCCTGCAGCCATAGGAAGGGGACTGCCCCAAAAAAATATTTTTTAACCCAAAGACATTCATAACAACACAGTGACTTTTATTTGCCCAATATGTAAGAAATGACCGTCTCTTAGATGGATGGCCTTACAGGGCTAAGCGAGCTCCATCTGCCCAGGTTTGGGATTAGAGTTGTCCTTCTCCTAGGATGACTGCCAGAAGGCTAACGAGCTCATCCTGCCCAAGAATTTAGTGTATCTGGTCCTACGGTTTTGACCTGTCTGGCATGGGCGACCCTACCGAAGGCATGTACCATCGCCAGCATAGCTCGCAACCACATAGGGGTACACAGGTTTCATTCCTATTAGAACGATTTGGGCATATCTTTCATTTCCTACTTTGCTATCACCTACCTATATACAATCTCCAGGAAATACCCAGGAACAACCCTTTGTCCTATTCACAATCTTTTTCATCATGATGCTCCAAAGGGCCACGGCAGACCTCGATGATCAGGACGGTATCTACATCTGATATCGTACTGACGGAAGCCTATTCAACCTAAGGCGACTGAAGGCCCACACCAAGACCTTAAACCATCTTGTCCGGGAGCTGCTTTATGCTGATGACGCCGCCCTTGTTGCCCACACAGAAGCAGCCCTGCAGCGTTTAACATCCTGCTTTGCAGATGCTGCTGAGCTCTTTGGGCTGGAAGTCAGTTTAAAGAAGACAGAAGTTCTCCATCAACCAGCACCTCAGGAAGTCTTCCTTCATCCCCATATCACCACTGGCCAATCAGAGCTCAAATCAGTTCAGCAGTTTAATTACCTAGGTAGCCTCATCTCCTCGGATGGTAAGATTGACGGAGAGATAGACAACAGGTTAGCAAAGGCATATAGTGCTTTCGGAAAGCTTCATAAAAGAGTCTGGCGAAATAAACACTTGAAGAAAAGTACAAAGATCAGTGTTTACAGAGCCATAGTGCTGTCTACTCTCTTATACGGATCTGAATCATGGGTCATCTACCGCCACCACCTGCGTCTCCTAGAACGCTTCCATCAATGCTGTCTCCACACAATCCTAAACATCCACTGGTCAGATTATGTGACCAATACATCTGTTCTAGAACAAGCAGCAATCACAAGTATTGAGGCCATGTTGCTGAGAACACAGCTGCGTTGGGCAGGGCACGTCTCAAGGATGCAGGACCACCGCCTTCCTAAGATCTTGCTTTATGGTGAACTTGCCACCGGTTGCCGCAAGAGAGGAGCCCCAAAGAAAAGATACAAGGACTCCCTGAAACAACATCTCAGCCTTGGCCATATTGATCAACATAACTGGTCTACTCTGGCCTCCAATCGGGAGGCCTGGAGACACACCATCTATAACGCTGCTGATGCTTTTGAGAAAGCACGCAGGATCACCCTTGAGGAGAAAAGACAACGCAGAAAGAATCGTGCCTTGCAGAATATACCATCTAAGGAGTCTTTCTGCTGTGCCTTTTGCAACCGGACATGCCTATCTCGTATTGGCCTTTTTAGCCACCAACGCGCTTGCAACAAACATGGGTAGAGCCCTTCCGAAATCTTCGTTCACGAAGCCTAGCCATGATGTAAGAAATACTAGGGAATTCAACCATAACCATAAAGTTGCCAAATCATTATTCAGATTGGATTTAGAGAGAAATAGTAAAGTTTGTTGGGGTTTTTTTGGTTTTTTTTCTTTCTTTTTTTCTCCCCCACAAACACAAAGGCAGGCATTTATCAAATGAACTTCTTGGGATCATTTATTCAAGGTATGCAAATAGAGTCCATTTATTCACTCCTATGGAAGATGTTATTTGCAGTTCAAAGTATGCTTCCTGTGAAACATTTTAGATTAATGAAGAATGGCAAAGACCTTGATTAATTTTTCCCAATAAGTTTGTATAATCTGCATACAAATTAGTTCAATTACAGAGTTTTCAAACATGGGCTGATTAATTTGGCTGCTTGGAGCAGCACATCACTGGAACTGGAAGTAATTAGATTCCATGTGTGATACTTGCATCAATAAATATTTAGAAAGTACTCTGCATCTCCTGTGATATGCTAAGTTGCTTCATCCCCAAAATCCTTTGTCACAACAGCAAACAACATACTGTTATATTTAACTTATTCTGTTAATCCTCCACAAACTTTTCTCTGAAAAGACTTTTGTTAGGTAGCTTGTATTTGGCTTGGTCATAATGGAGAAACACTCCCTGCTTCATAGAGGATAAGGATTTGCCAAAGAGTTTTCATAAATGCAACTTTTAAGGGGCTATTTGGAGTAGATTGGATACAGTGTCATATATCAATACTCAGCAGTCCCATATACAGATGCAAAGAAGTTCAAATTAAAAGGCTTTTGCAAGAACAAGCTGCAAAAGAAATAAGACTGCTACCTTCTATTAAATTCTTATTGATGACTCATGACTGACATATTACACAAAAACATCTAAAAGATCAGGACAACATATATTTTACATTCAGAGAGCTATCTATATAATGCTCAGTAGCTATTCAGATAGTACAGACTTTTCAGTGAGATGAAGAAATAGCATCTTAACCTCCCATATTATATAGAAGAAGCACAAGTAATTTTGTACTCAAAAGATGCCGTCCAGATTTTAAAGAGGCAGATTTTACAGTAACAAAAGTCTACTATAGTCACTAGAAATGTTTTGCTGTGTTAATTAACAAAGAAAATGAAATCATAAATGAGATGTCAAGAGCAAGGGGGTATTTTATGCCTAATGCATTAACAGGCATTTGCTCATAAGTTCTGTTAAAGAAACCCTTTAAAATGTATATTCCACTGAGAAGCTCACGGTTCAGATCATATTTCAACAGAAACATTTACTAGTAGAATTGTGAACATAAGAGTGGCTCCTCAGTTTGGTACTTTTGAAGAAAAAAAACATGCTTTCAGAAATTATTTTGAAAGAAATATTTTAAGATTTAATAGACTTAAGAGAGAAGCTTCATTAGTGCTTTCTGGTTTTGGGCATCCATTTTTAACCACCTCAATCCCTCAAAGTTTTTATCAATGTAAAACAAAAAAATAAAATAAAAAAAAACAAACCAGCAGTTTAGTTGCAACTAGAAGCCAAGTATTTCTAGCACTCAGGACTCATGCATTTTCTTCAGCATATTCTTTATTTCCCCAAAACATGCAAAAACCCAAAATACTAGAGCCAAAGCCACAAGTACAGGACTATAGCTGTGCTCTTACCTGTGTGCTTTCGGAGGTGCTCTTTAAAATGACCAAAGTGATCAAACTGCTTATCACAGTACTGGCATATATGTATTTTTTTGCCAGGTCTTTGCTTCTTGCTAGCACCACCTTCATCAAGGTGGTAACAGGTGAGGTGTTGTTTCAAAGCACTCTCTCGTAGGTACCTTTTATTGCATATGTCACACTTGTAACTCTCAGCAGAGTGTGTTTTCACGTGTTCCTTAAAATGGTAAAACAATTTAAATGAACGGTTACATTTTTCACAGTGGAATAAATTCTTCACGTGGGACAGCTGAAGTTCCACAATTTCAATATCTTCTACCTGTTTGCACGAGGGATCAGTTGCACTGCCACCTTCTTCTTGGATCTGGCATTTTGTCTCTCCTTGACGATACTTACTGGTGATATCAGCCAAAAGAGCCAAAGCAGAATCATCTGATGTACCCATTGTATGTATGTACTTTATAGATTGCTCTGCAGAAGCTACTTCAAGTGTTTCAATGCTGTTTTCTACTTCAATCATCCCTTCAGCAATCTCAACCTCAATTTCAACAGGCTCTGATTCTGCAGATGGCAGTGTTTCTGTAATAACATTAGAGGTTTCAGCTATCTTCCTCTTTTTTGCTTTATTTTTACCTTGCCTTGGATTTGATTCTAATGGTGATGAATTTTCTCTGTTCCTGCAAAACATTTGCATAAACATAGTTAAGATCTATAAGCATTTACATAACAATTCCTGCCTGATGCTGAGCTTCTGCATTAAATACTAGCTAGCTGTTTCTCAAAGAAGCCGAACTATGAATGACCACATAACCTGCACCCATTTCAGAAGCTAATTTGTCCTTAATCTACACACCTTAGAGCTGTAGAATAGCACAGTTAAAGCTGCGGAGCCTTTAACATAGGGTTATTCAAGTGTTTTAAATAGCTCCACTTGAATGATACAAAGCACCTATTCAAGAAGAAAGGCCAGTTAGCCTTATGACATAGGTGTATCTAAGAAACTTGTGAAATTCTGTACTTGGAAAGAAAACTTCTCCAAAGGAAGGAGTTCTTTGGCCTGCCTACTGTACCAGGGTGAATTTATGCTGATACTTTTGGTCTGTGCTTGGCCCCAGCCACCTGCAGTAGTTTATATTCTCCCTGCCAAGTTCACTGATAAAACAGTGAATTCGTCCTTGGAGGGAGAACTTTTGTATAAACTGTTTTAATTGGTGTTCTGTGATTGGCTAATTGTCCTCCAAGGTCCTTGAAGGAGAATTTGAGGAGGAGGAGGATGAAGTAGTGCCCCCAGACTCAATTAAGAAAGACCCCCAAAGCATACTGCACGTGCGTTAGGGGATTTCCAAAGTTCTCACGCATGCGCAGAAGAGATGCACTTACATAACCGGGAGGTGGGATTGAGGGCCTTTGGCTGGGCGGTGCTGGCCACACCTGGGAGGTTGTGGTCACTCAGTTAATTGTATAAAAGTAGATAGTGCTTTCTTGGAGAGAGCTAGCTTCATATCAAGGACAACGTTACCTTTTGGCAGGGACGCCTGCCAGTTTGTGAACTTACTGACTCTCCAAGGATGCAGCTTCTGCTATGGGTAATTATAGGTATGCTAGGTCGGTAAGATAACTTAACGGCAACAGCTGGGTAACTGGGGAGGTCATGCTGGGGGCTTATTTCTCTCCTCCTTCCTCCCTTTTGGGTTTGTTCGTTTTGTTGGCCACCTCTTGGTAATAAATATCAGTTTTGTTGACCTTGCAACGGTGTCGTGGTTTTCAAGCTTCAGTATGTTCGAACCCCTCTCTACTACACCTACTCAGAAATAAGATTCAAGTTCTTCCTGCACTATTCACCTCAAGCTCTGGAGTGCATGCAATTGCCTGCAGCACTTACAGCTTCTTAGAAAACACTACAGCTGTGACTTCACACAATGATTATTATAACATCTTGTACTTCAAGAAAACACACAGCTAACAATTGTAATAAAAAAGAAAAAAGCCACTGGGATATGGAAGGAGTATTTTAGTTTAATTTATCTAGGCTTAAACACAGTCCTTAGCTCTGTTCCTCTTTTCCTTGCACCATAAACACACAACCCTCTTCCTCCAAGATGTCACAGATAGCATCCCATCTCAAACACAGACAGAGCTAAGTGGGCCAATGCTTTCAAGTCACACACTCATGATTATCCACAGCACTTACATGCTGGAGGTTTTACTACTGATTATCAGTTTTGAAAATGAGTGGCTACCTTCCATTCAAATCAGACTTACAAGAGTAATTTGTGCTTTTACCTTCCTTTGCAGCCTGATAAATTTTTTTATGTAGCCTACTCCCTATCACTTTCAGGTTTTCTAGTAATAGGAGTGATAAGGTTTTTCTCCGGTATCTGTATGTCACATGGCAAAGATGTGTAGCTATTGACCTAATGTAGGATACAGCTTATTAAACTGCACCTTACTATATTCAGACACAGGAAGACAGAGCAGCTAAACTTATAGTTTCATCTAGGGTGGATTTCTGATGCTTAGAAGGTGACAGTTACTTTGCACATTACTGCAAGGAGCTCCAGGATCACGTACCAAAATAATAATCTGCTCAGCAAAGAGGAGACTACTGTCCTTGAGTACATTGTGTGGCTCAGGTGTGAAACTGAACACATACAACACACTGTACTTCAAGGAATAACAATTGGTTGTTTTCTTTCAAGTCTAGATTATGTGCTGTGCAACTCTGATGCATTACACAAATGGTTAGTTCTATAATAACCTCTACTTTAGCTGAAGTTTCTGAAGCTTACCCCTTTCAGTCAAAGCTCAGATAGAGGCACTGTATTGCAATTTGTCCCCTTCCTACTGTGAAGGAGAAAACTGAGACTAACAGGTAGTACTCAAGTTTGTTTTTCTAACCAAAAACACCTGACCAAAAATCTATGAACAATGGAAATAACTCTAAGAATAAACTGGCTTCAACATGTATGTGTTAAGCCAAACATTTATTTCCTTGTAACATAAGAATTACAGCATCTACTAGTGATGCATAACGAACAAACTGCATAACATTAAACAGTAGTGGGAATTAATTGCAGACTAGACAGTTTAGCTTGATGGACTGATCTGAATCGTGGTTCAACAGCTCTACCAGTGTACACAGACTCACAGTGATACCAATTAGAACATAGGTTTTCAATTTCAAGTGCCTTAAATTTCTGAAGCAGACAGCAAAGGTCTGCTTTTCCCTGAATGAAAAAAAAGTTCTTTTGGTGATACTGATGCCTATGGATTTTTTTGATTTTTAGCTTTTTGTAGATTTTAGAAGTATCTGTAGTCTGTCACACTATAGCACAGTAGTTTACACATACCCCAACCCTATTACCCCATTTCATATCGAACTTTCTAAATTCCTTTAGTTTGTTTAGACTTCCGTCAAGGTAGGCCTTCATTCTGTTTAAGAACATTTGCACCCTGGCTTGAACAAGAAGATACACCAATAGACAAAGCATCCTTCAAAACCCAGAACCTTGGAGGAGCTCCAAGGACTGGACGTGCTGTGACGAAGAGGAAGATGAGGAAGGGGGGTCTCAGGACCCCTGACTCAATTTCCAGGGGGGCAGAACTGGGGGGCAGATAGATCTGGGATTGGATGGACTGTACTATAAATTGTGTAACCCCTGGACACGTGGTGCGCGCGTCTCTGTACTCCCTGTGGTTGAAGGCTTTCTATTAAAACTGCTCTCTACCTTATCTCTACTAATGATTGCCTGGTGAGTCTATTTTTGGCTCCCGTTATCTTAAGGCAACAATACCATGTTTAATCTTAATAATGCCAAAAAAGGGTGTTGGTGGAGTTGTAGAACTAGAAATGCACAATCCTATCTTTCCTCTTAAAAAAACCCCAACATACTTATTCAGCTCTGCTACCAATCAACATGATGCCTGCTCAGCTGGTGCTAAGAAAAAACTCAGGAGCAGTTAATTGAGGGTGAGATAAGGAAAGGGTTTAATTGTGCCAAGGCAAGAGATGTTACAGGAAGCGCCACGGCTGTGCCTGAGATGTTACATTTTATAATAATATCTGTCCAATCCTAAGTGTGTCCACCCCGTAGCCTTTGCTCTGGTCCACCCCCATCCCGCCCCCTGGGAATTGGGGCTGGGGGCTTTTGAGACCCTCTTCATCAATCTTCATCTTCTTCGGGGTACAGAGGGTACACAGTCACCTAGTTCTTGACTCTGTTTTGTTGTTCAGGCCTAGATATGGGTGTTCTCTAAACAGTATAGGCCTTGCCTTGACAAGAGACTAAACATTCCTACTGAATTCAGGGGTAGGATTGATATAGGGAGCATGGAATGGGGTAAGAGGGTTGAGGAATGTGTAAACTAAAGGGTGGTACAGGGTAGAGGGACAAGGGCTGCTGCTTCTACTTCTTATAAAACTTATAAAGCTTACAAAAATTAGAAAAATAAAAAACTAATAGGGGCTTAAGGCATCCAGCAGAATAACTTGATTCAAAAAAACCCCAAAAAACACTGATGTTGAAAACCAAGTTTCCAGTGTACCATGTCATGGAGGTTTTGTTTGTTTGGCTCCTAGAGGAACTCTGTGTCAGTGCCACTCTCCTTAGCTTAGTGTGCCTATGGGGAGATAAAGAAGAAACAACAGTCTTTCCTTAACCTGAACACAAAGACCTTTCAGAATATTTAGAAGAGAAAACAAGGATAACCATAATGCTGGGAGACATTTATTGCCCCTCCCTCTGCTTCATGACAGAAGAACAGTGTAGCATATGGAAGGAATGAGAACATGACAGCACTTTGGGAAAGGGAAGGAAGGGGAAGAAAAACAGCATGATGGGAATGGCACCTGCTTTTCTCAGGTTGGAGTTTGGTAATGGATTGCAGTTCCTTGTACTGTTTCTTGTACAGTACTGGATAAAAGGTGCTACAGCAACATTTGATTAAGTACTGATCCCATATGAAACCAATTATAACAATTACATTTGTTCAAGAAGTTTGAGAGACTAATTTTGCAACAAGAAGTTTTAAAATCACTTCCTATTCTCTTGAAAGCAGAAACCTGCATGAAATCAAAACACCAGTGCAAACTTGTTAATGTGGTCTAATTACCTGAGAGACATCGTCACTGTACAGCCAGCTGTCAATCAGGTGTGGGTAGTCAGATAGTACAGAGGCCTGGTATTAGTTATCACGAAGTCACAGCCCTACGTCTGCAACATTTACATCCGTGTCACTTGTCATCAAGTTCCAGCCCAAAGAATGTGACATTCATTTTTTTAGCCTGTATAATTCTGACCCATATCTTATAGTACAAGAGTATACAATACCACACAGGTTTAGGAGGTTCCAGGATAAAGAAGAGCACTGCAAAATACTGGCAGTCAGCTCTCATAAAAGGATTCTTAAGACTCTCCATTTCAGTGTTGGGAAGAAAAAGAGGCTTATGCGTTTACCTGATTTCAAGTGCTTTGATCGCTTCTAACATCTGTAGATACTCAGCTGCTTTCCAAACATCATTTGCTTCTTCCTCACCTTGGACCATTAGTTTTGCTGTATAGATGAACTCAATTAGGTGACGAAATGCCATGTTACTTACACCTGTTTACAAGCAAGAAAAACAGCCTCTCTTAGCAATTCCTCAGTCTTGCACACTTGCCTGCTCACAGCACTCCAAGAGCCAGTTTCATGATGTCACCCTTGAAAGACTCACATTTGAATAAAAAGTCTACCATAGAAACACATGAATCTGGAAGAACTACAGTCATTCCATGACAAAGATAAAAAGAAGAATCAGATGGACAAAAAGCTACTTGTATAAAATAATAAAAAGTACATATTTAAACATAAAAATATGATCGAGAGAGAGAGAGCTCTGAGCAGCAAGCTACCAGAAGCTGAATTGCTCCAGGAAATTGCTCCTTGCCTACCAGGCAGGTATTGCTCCACATCTATCCTGTTCTTGCACCGCAGCCAAGGTATCTTTTCAATTTTTCTTCAGAGGAAGTCTTTTTCAGTGGCAATAACTACCTGTACTGGTTTGGGTTGGGACAGAGTTAAATTTCTTCATAGTAGCTAGCATGGGGCTATGTTTTGGATTTGTGCTGAATCATAGAATGATAGAATGGTTTGGGTTGGAAAGGATCTTAAAGATCATCTAGTTCAAACCCCCTGCCATGGGCAGGGACACCTTTCACTAGACTAGGTTGCTCCAAGCCCCATCCAACCTGGCCTTGGACACTTCCAGGAATGAAGAGTCTACAACTTCTCTGGGCAACCTATGTGTGAGGAACTGGACTTTTTAAATTGCCTTAAAACATTGCTACTGGAGTAAGCTGTGCAAGCCCCCTTCCAGGGGACTGAAGATAAGGCTGAGGGGAGGAGGCCCTAGGGGCAAAGTCTTGGGGGTGTGATGCCTATCTAAAGGAGACCAGTGGCACTCTCTGGGTGTGTGATATTTATCTCCTATGGGCCAGGCCATGTCAAAGAGGCCATGTACACACATATCCATCACTACCCCAGAGGAGGCCTCTTAGTAGGGGTGCCTTTGAAGCACCCCCATCCCCAAGCCTAAATGACTTTGCAAAAACCAGTGCTTTCAGCCTCTGCAAAAGCAGCTCCCCACACACATGGGGTGGGACCAGGAGGGTTTTTCAGGGTATATAAACCCACCGAATTCTGTGTTTTGTGGGCTTCTCTCCCCCATTGCTCCCCAACAGACACCAGTGACAACAGCAACCAAGTTCACCAGAGACCTTTGAGTGGTGACTATAACTTTTATTCTTCTCTCTCTTTCTTTCTTTCTCTCTTTTAACTCTTATTCTTTTCTCTCTTTCTTTCTCTCTTTTCCCTTACACATTTTCTTGGGTGGCTATATTACAACCAAAATGGCTACATACCTGTTTTCCTTTGCAACCAAATTATTCTAAAAGAAGTCATATATATATACATGCAAACACTGATGACCTAGGGATATAATAATAAAACAAAAGTTACTCCTGCCTGGCAGGGCAGGTTGTAACACTGTGCCAGTGCCTCACCACCCTCATAGTAAAGAATGTCTTCCTAATATCTAATCTAAATCTACTGTCTGCCAGTTTGAAGCCAATGCCCCTTGTCCTGTCATTCCAGGCCCTTGTAAATAGTCTCTATCTTTCTTGTAGGCTCCCTTCAGGAAGGCTGCAATTAGCTCACCCCAAAGCCTTCTCTTTTCCAGGCTGAACAAACCCAATTCTCTCAGCCTCTCCTTGTAAGAGGTGCTCCATCCCTCTAATGAACTTGGTGGCCTCCTCTGGACTTGCTCCAACAGGTCGATGTCCTTCCTGTGATGAAGCAGTGTTGATAACACACTGATGTTTCAGTTACTGCTGAGCAGGGCTTATATAGAGCTAAGGCCTTTTCTGATTCTCACACCGCCCTGCCAGTGAGGGGGCTGGGGGTACGTGGGAGGTTGGGAGGAGACACAGCCGGAACAGGTGATCCCAACTGACCCAAGGGATATTCCAGACCATACGACATCATGTTCAGCATATAAAGCTGGGGGGAGGGGCAGGTGGAGGGGCCACTGCTAGGGGACTTGGCTGGGCATCGGTCAGTTGGTGGCAAGCAACTGTTTTCATTTGCATCACTTGTCTTCCTTAGGTTTTTTTCCTCTCTCTTTTCTCTTTTACTTATAATGTTTACAAAGTTATTATTTCTTTGTAATTATGAAACTGGTTTTATCTCAACCCACAAGTTACTTTCTCACTTTTACCCTTCTGATTCTTCCCCCCC